GAACTAGTGCGCCTCCCCCGCCTCCTCTCCCTCCTGTTGCTGCAGGGGGGGATCCTGGCCGATCAGCCATGCTGGAAGGCATTCAACGTGCTGGCGGAATCCACTCCCTCAAGAAGGTTGATCGCTCACAGATTCGCGACCGAAGTGGTGTTCAAGTTGGCAGTGGCGGCGATTCTGGCGGTGCTAATGCCGCACCTGCAGCAGCTGGTGCGCCTGGTGGCGGCGGCGGCATGGCCGATGCCTTGGCTGCTGCTCTCCAGAAGAGAAAAGAAAAGGTCTCCAAGAGTGGTAAGTCCAACATGCGTTTGTTAGTAAAGAGTGATGTGCTAACACAATATAAGATGACGAGAGTGACAACGATGACTGGTGAACTAAACCACATCAGCACAAGATCCAAGAGAAGGAAGGAAGAGTGTGGTAGATATAGTCGACAAAGGATTATCGACATGTCTTTTATAAAATCTGCACTTATGGGTAACGACGAGTATTGTGACGAACCAACCAGTTGCAGACGTATCTTGGTTGCGAATCAGCACCAGCATATGAGATCGGGCTTGTATTACCAAATGGTTCTACTACGTCTGTAGCATTTCCAGTTGGCATGACAAAAGTTGGTTATGTTCTGTAGACACCCATAGCATTAACGAGATTCTACAAGATTACAGAATGACTAGCCCACAAACTCGGCAATAGTTAGTGCGTTGCCTTTACTGCTCACGACATCAATGCAATGCGAGAATCAAAGGATGTTTATGAAGCAATAGTAAGCATTTTCCTGTCTTGTCTAACCTGTGCTTTTGAGACGATTGTGATGATCGTAAAGCGTTAAGAAAAAAACATGTTCGTCCAGTAAAAAACAACCTAAAAACGGAACAAGACAGAAAATTCGATCGTGATACTGAAAGTCCAAAAGAGAACGACATGCCGTGACGTCCCTCCCACCACGGCCGTCTACGACTCCACAGCAACTACTGTCGTGGGACCCGACGCACAGAGCTTTGGGTGCTCGGCTCCGGGTTTGAGAGAGAAGACAATATCAACAACACCAGCCGCGAAATACGTTTGTATCACCCGGTAGCGTCGGGGGCTCGGTGGAGAGAGAGAAGGGGATTTGGAGGGGCTTTGGCGAGCCTAAATGTCGTCAATGTCGACCTCCTTCTTGTTGCCAGCGGCGCCATCGTCAGAGTCATCGTCTGAATCAGCGTCGCCGAACTCGAAGTAGGCCTCGCCATCCTCTCCCTGGCCAAAAGAGTCGGTTTCGTTGATCTTAGCGTTCTCAGGGAGCTCGCCGTAAGACTTGAGGGTACGGGCTTCATCGGCGGTGTACTTGAGAATGACGTCGCCCTTGTTGTCCTGGAAGTCACGGAGAGAGAGGAGGATAATATCACCCTGGTTAATCCAGACCTTCTTTCGCATTTTGCCGCGAATCTAAGAAGGAGGTGTTAGCATGAATCGTCGAAAGAAGGACATGAGCGTCCTGCTTTCGTTGCACCGCGTCTTAGGCAGGCAAACTTGGGGCTACTTACGTTGGCGAGACGCTTGCTTCCATCGAAACACAGAGCCTCGAGACGACCGTTACCAAGCATCTTCACGACCTGAGCATACTCTTGGCCATCCTCCTTGAAGGTGAGCTCTCGGCGCTGGTCATCGTTCTCCTTGGTACCACGTCTGCGGTTCTTTCCACCCTGTCCAACTGTTAGAGACGGTTCCTTTGTTGCTTGCAGAAGAACTTGGGCGATGATGGTGGGGGCGGGGCAGGCGGTTGGCGCGTGAAAATGCGATCCGTGAATGAAAAAGGATGGCAGTCGAGTATAGAAGGATCTGTGTGACTTACCTTTCCCTTGTTCTTAGGCATATTGGCGGTTTGTCGGTATGCGTGAAGTGAAGAAGAGATGTGTTGGTGGAAGAAGAAAGTTGGTGGTGATGTTGTGGTGTCGTTGTTGGCTTGGGAAAGAAAGTGGATTTTTCCTGGGCTTCGCTGCTGACTGACACAAGAGGTAGGAGCTGGTTGGGCGCAAGACAAATGTGATACATACAGTCCTCCACAGTGACTCAAGCGTGGCGCAGCAAAGATGTTTTCAATGCAATACGATAAACTTTCAGTCTGAAAAGTGTGGGAAGAATAGCAAACTTAAAACCTAGAGCGTGTCGGTTAATCATACATAGAGTTGATTAATTCTTTATTAAATCTAGAGATTATCCTAAGAAGAGAGCATTATGCCTAAAGTCAAGTACCTATTCTGAATAATATGACGCAGATTGGTTAGCGACACAGCCACAATCATGTGGCGTTCCTAGTCAAGCATGTTGGGAAATCGTAAACTCATGAAATCGATTTGCGCATCGTGCTTCATCATGCTTGATTCCAACTTCCCTGGCGCACTCCCTCGCAATTAGGCAATGAACGAACGGCACTAAGGCACCAGAAAAATCTCACCTCTGAAGAAAACATCATATCCCACCTCAACATGATAGTTTCCCGTCGAAGTCCTTCATCATGACAACGGCACAAGTCTTGCCAGGAATCAAACTCCTGCGATCGATACCCTCCTCTAACTACCGACTTTACTCATCAACCACACGGATATTGCACCAAAGTACAAAAGACCGTCCTCAAAAGACTCCCAGCAGACCAGGACAATCACCGAATCGAGACGGAACGAAAGGACGGCCTAAATCGCCCCGGATCTACATCCCACCAGCAAACGACCATGTATCACCATCTGGAAGACTGCTCACCACACCAGAAGTCTGGTCATTTCTTCAAGAAACAGGCATCGAGTACGACAACTCTAAGGCTACACGTCTGCATCTGGGGCCTGACGAACAAAAAGTGAAAGTATTATTCAACTGCCTTGTTCAATACTCGCCTCGATACATCATACACCCCTACCACCTGCAACATTTAAGGCCAGGAATAGCACCAATGCTACCCATAATCATGAGCAATTACCGACGCAAGCTGGCAGAGGAGCCTCTCTGGACATACACAATATGCAGGGGAGGGGGCAGTACCGTGGTGCGAAACCTGATGGCCAAAAGACTGACAGGCGCATTCTGGGGAGCCTTGAAAGATCTCGGATACTCAATGAATGGCCCGCGAGGAACGCTTATGGTGACGATCCACGATCCTTTGAAAGTCGCCCAAGCCCCAGCTCATATTTTTGGCGAGGCTGTTGCAAAGCAAGTGAAGCAAACCTGGGAAGAAAAATACATGTTGCAAAAGAGACATGAATAGCTGGGCATACTTGAAAGCCAAGACTGGATATGTTGTCACGAACTATGGTGCATTCTGCGCAAAATTGGTGTTTCGGAAATTGGTGGCATCCTCAGAAGGGATGTGAGGGAGTAACATGAATACCTAGGGTTTTGGTTATGGAATTTGCGGGATCCTTTGTCTACATGGAGCCAACCTATCGGTAGACCTGAGAACTGGATCAGATTTGCGTGGGCTTGCAAGTCATGTGTGTACTTGATGCTATGATACCAATGTTTTCACCAATAAACTGTATATTGCTATTCAACCGTGTCAAGTTGAGCATTCGTCCATATGTAAAGTGTTTAGTCTGAAGATGAGATATACATACCTAGGAATGAAAGGATAACATCCATGTGACACCCCGTGGTAACACCCACGGGTGGGAGGTGTGAACTTTGTCCCCCTATCCCGTCCCGAGTCCCCACTTTGTAGTGCTCTAAGGTTAGAGAGCCCTGGAGCCTCACAGGGGCGCGGCTAGGTAGCGAGCCTCCTAGGGGCCTAGGGCCTAAGCTCCAGGGAGTCTTACATAGGTAGGTATTGAGTCGGGTGGTACTCAAATTGCTGGGCTGAATGGGAGCTGGAGCTCTTTGTCTTTAGTTAGTGCCCTTGCTGGCTGGCGTGCGTGTCCTTGCTCATGCAGCTTGTCCCAACCAAAGATTCCACGTCGACCTTCCATCCCTATCGCATTCGCAATTATCAGCAACCTTTCTCGCTTCAACTACAGATCAGATAGGCGATTTGGTCAGCGCCGTCTATAGATTCTCCTTTTCAAAGATACCCTTGTTTCACCTTCCCTTTTCCGCTTGCGTATTTGCCTAGAGACTACCTCGGCGTCATCATCACCCTTTGTTTGCTGCGACACTCGCAACGATGCTCGTCTCTCTCACTGTCGGCAAGGTCGATGCCGGCGTTACTGTTCTTCTGACACCGGACAAGCGCTTGGTGAGCTTGCAGCATCTTCTCTGTCTGTGATAATTGCTAATGCAGAGAGTGTCCTTAGATCGAATTCCCATCTATCCTCCTCCCTCCCAATATCTCGTCAGGCAGCATCGTCGACATCAACGTTTCGCAGAACGCGACCAAAGAAGCTGCTGCCGATCGCGCATTCCGTGCCCTCCAAGACAGCATCTACAACTCATTTGGTGCCTCCGAGCCTACAACCCCAGTGCTGCGATGCCGCAATGCAACCCAAACCTCCGTCGTTCTTGAGTGGGATCCTATTCAGCTTGCTACCGCCGACCTTATTTCTTTGAGTCTCTACCGAAATGGTCAAAAAGCTGGAAACATCCCTCGCCCGTTACAGATGCACAGCACAAAGATTAGCGGCCTTGCTGTTGATACAGAGTATACCTTCCACCTGGTCCTGCGCACAAGCGCTGGCACCTTCATCAGTGAGCGCGTCTCCGTGAGAACACACAAAATGACGGATCTAAGAGGCATTACCATTACTACCGGTATTCTGCCTAGTGCCGTCAAGGACAGCTTGACAAATGCGGTTGAGCGCATTGGGGCCAAGCTTGTTGATGGCGTCCGCATTGACACGACGCATTTTGTTACTACTGAGGGACGTGGGCAGCAATGGGAGAAAGCTGTCGAGAGCAACATTCCCGTCGTACGTCCAGAATGGGTTGAGGCTTGTGAGAAGAGTGGCCGCATTCTAGGTGTCACCAAATTCTATCTTGATGCTATGAAGCCAGGCCCCCCAGCCGAGGAAGCTTCACCTCCACCTCCTCCAGAGAAGGAGGAGAAGAGCCTGCCCGTGCCGCCTGCCCACAACGGCGAGCAGGCATCTCCATCAGAGGAGAAGCTAGACGAGAAGGTCAAGGAGAAGGAGGAAGAGGACGCGCAAAGGAACGGCGGAAAGCAGAGCTCCAGCGGTAGTAGCACTGAAAGCGGAGAAGAAGTCGAGATCGAGCAAAAGACGAAGACGTCACCACAAGAGGAACAAAAGGTGCGATTCGAGGATAAAGAGGAGCAGAAGGTTGCCCTACGACCCGCCAATAATGGTGAATCAAGTAACCCCGAACACGATGATAAGCAAGAAGCGTCAGATGATGACGCAGAAGATGAGTCAAACGCGAAGACCGCACCTACACCAGATGGGGCATCCTTCCAAGAAGTGGAGCTATAGACCAAGAGGTACTTCAATTATGTGGTTGGGATTGACTTTGTTTGAAAAGATAGCATGATTAGGCAGTGAGTGGACAGCGGTCGCTGTCTGGTATGGTCTCATATGGATATATTGGCTGGCAAGATCTTGGTGAAAGGGCAGAGCAGATACTGGTTTAATAACTTATTTTTCGCGCAAACAACTCCAAGATGCGTTATTCTTTCAGCTCTCTCAATAATCCACGCCTCGCTTTATGGGAGGATCTCCTTGTTGTTCCAGTCCATACACTTGCCTCGCCCTTCCAGGGGGAGACCCGTTGCGACTTTTACAAGTCTGTCGACAGCGAATTCAGGGCTGAATAGTTTGCCCTCCTTTGTACTCTCCCAGAAACCCTTGCTCAGGTCTGTCTTGACCGTGCCAGGGTGGTAGGCAATGGAGATGGCCTTATCACCACTCCGCCCACGGAGAAATATGTCGTAACTCTTGCCCAGGCTGATAACTCCCGCCTTGCTCGCCCGATATGAGAACCATCCCCCAGCCCTATTATCTGACGTGGAGCCAACCCGAGCTGCCATACTGAGCCACACCGAATAGGGAGGCATCTGTACCTCATCACTGTTGGGGCTGTCCTCGAGCTCAGAGCTCCGCCTGGGAAGAAACTTGTCGAAGTGTTTGATAAGGAGGAGAGGACCCATGGTGTTGATGCGAAACTGCTTCAAACTAGCCTCTGCGTCTATCTGGTTGACATTCTTCTCTGGTTTGAGGACCCCAGGAACCGCGCACGCAAGCCGCAGGTGATGCTTGTCAGGAGGGAACAGCTCGGCAGCTCTGGAAGCTGCATCAATGAGAGACCCCTCGTCTGTGACATCCGCGTGAACTATCGACAGGCGTTTAGTGAGACCTGCTTTCTCGGGAAGACCTTCGAGAAGTGATTTCTTCACAGTTTCTGGGTCGTGTTGGAGACGAGCTGTTGCGAGTATTGGCAAGGATGTCTTCTGGAGGATGTGTCGAGTGAGAGCATAACCAATTCCTCGAGTTGAAGGGCATACAAAAATCCAGGGCTTGCTCATGGTTGATTCACCTGGGTCGGATGTCCCAGAGCTATCTCATATAAGTCAAGTTTGACTGAACAAATTGGGTGCTGTGACAAGGATGAATGTAAAGTACGACGAAGTTCTCAATTGGTGTCATTGGCTGTAAAATCAAGTTCACGCCTCAAACGACCGTATAAATGATTGGTTGTCACTTTTATTTCACCCTCCCCTTGACAATCATGTAGCTCCATGACATCTCGTGTCTTTGATGATGCGTAGACGCACGTTCTTGCGAGGGATCACCTACGTCATAGGATCTCGCTGCCCCTGAGCGGGCTGGGCGGGCTCGATCCAAGTGTAGAAGCTTGTTACCCAACTCACGTTAGGTATAAACAGAAGTGGTTGTGAAATCGAAAATTGATTCTGTGTTTCTTGACGTGCGAACTAAAGTGTAACGGCTAGCATTAGATAGATGCCGAGAAGATGATTTGGTGTTACATTGCAAGTTGAATGAGTCTCAAGATTAGGATAGGATATTGTAGGGTAGATTTGAAGTCATAGACGCTATGTTTTCCGTTCAATGGCTTATTAGTGATAACCTTGAATTATCGCCAAGTGAGCGACCTTTCTATCATTTCGACGATACTAAACAAGAAACTAGCTATTTCTGGGTAGATACGATACATACTAGGAAATGCTCTGAACTTATCGTGATAGGCGTCAGCTAGGAAAGTGCACGTCGGGTGCAAGACTATACTATAGTAACGTTGTCGAACGTATCCAAAATCCAATGCTTCGCTCATCCTGCACACAAACCAACCAGCCAGTCCTATACTGCACATAAAAAACAGATCAACCTCCCCGTCTTCGTCTCCTGTTTTTGGATTGTACACATCACCCAGCAGACCACTACTCGGAAAGAGAATGCAGTAATCCCTCATCACCCATTCCGAGTGATCTTGCTTCAAAGCTTAGTCGAGATCGACCGGCCAGTTCTCTCATCAGAGGCTCTATCGTATCAAAACCGCTCATGTCATCGCTGACACTTCCAGCCTCAAGCTCCTCTTTAGTTCGTACAAGCTGCTCCAGAAACTCCCGCTCTGATGTCCCGGTCCTTGCCATCATGCGTCCTCGGCTCGATGGTCTCATTTTAGAGGTTGCTTGGAAGTTCGAACGGTCATCATCAGATATCCACCCCTTCGCCCCGCTTGGGTGCCCGTCTTGAGAATTAGCGAGCGTGCGGTTGAGATTGTCTAATACTGGCACCAGGGCACGAAGCCAGACATCTCCGTTGCGCTCCAATCTCCTGATTCTGCGTTCCATCTCTCTGATGCGGTACTCGCGGTATGCCTCATATCTTCGCAAAACCTCCTTTTCCGCGGTGGGCGCTTTGTCCCCGGTGTCTTCTCTCATAGTAACCGCCCTCCTCACCCTGGGTCGGGGACTGGCGTTCGAGGCAGCTTCTTTTCGTTTACGTTCTTGTTCTCGAGCAGCACTCCACTCCCGGCGTCGCGAAAGGGAAGTTCTATCCTGTGAGTCCAGTTTATGAGTTGGTGATGAGTGAGCGGATTGCGGAGGCGTCGGTGACCCGTTTTGATATGAGGGTGGAGATGGAGAAATTGCTCGACTGGACGTGTCGTCTTCTTGCTTAGGCGCCTCGTTCCGCTTCAACTTCACAGCAAATGTCAAGTCCTCTGGGTTTGTGGTCGTTTGTCTCTTTGGGGATGCTGGGCCAACCGCTGTTGGGGGAGGTGATGGCTTGACATTGGCGACAACCATGATGGGGCACATGCTTTGGCGCTGGGGAGACCTGAGTGGCAATGGTGGTGGCTCTTCTACCTTTTCTTGAGGCGCCTCTCTGATAGTCTCCTGCTCAGAATCAGGCTGCAGGTCCATCGAAATAGATATCATACTGCGCCGTTTCAAAGAGGCAGCTTCCATATCCTTCTTTTTCTTGTCCCTGACCTTGTCACGGCGGCTCTGTGACAATCTGGCTTCAGGTGTTGATGACATCTCCTTTGTTGTTTGTTTCCTAGAACCTTGACGTTGGACACGTAGTGGGCTTTTGGTAATCACAGTAACAGGAGGCTCCTCGGTTTTCTTCGTGGTCAATCGAATGCGCGATTCCCTGGCTGATACTGGTCTTGCCTCGACCGGCCTAGCCTCTGCAACAACAGGATCATTCTCGCTTGTTGTCATTATGCTTTTGGAAAGTGAAGGTTGGTAAGATCCGTCCTGGGATACGGGGCGGGCAGGTGAAGTAGGAACCTGATGGGCTTCTGTCTTGGTTGACTGAGACATCATAGTATCGATCGACAGGTCGCCGAGGTGTACGAAGCGACCCCCTGCCAAGCTGGGATTCCGTGAAGGGATCCTATCGTGATTGTTTGGGCTTCCTGCATTTGTGTCCCCCTGTTCATTGCTTTGAAATCGTCGGCCCAGCTCATTTGCTTGTCTGACTTGGTCTGGGGTCACTACCCTCGGAGGAGGCGTTGCCAAAATGTTCAGATGTTCCGGTGCCGTACTTTGGTTACTGCTATTAATAGGGGCCGGAGTAGAGTGTCCATTGATCGATGAGTTTGGAGATCTTTGAGGGATAGTAGATAAAAGAAGCTGAGAATTTGCCGGGCTCACCGAGGGCGACGATTCTCTGTCCTCGGCGACAGTCCGTAACACAGTCACGACGCCTTTGTCGTTCAAGACTGCTCTGGTAGGAGCATACTGGGAAGTGAGAGGCTTTACACTCCGGTGCTGGTATATGGGATACTGAGACCTGGGAGTTCGGCCAAATGGCGAGGCGTCCAAGGGAATGGAAATTGCAATATGTCGATGTCCTCCTATCGTTGTGCCTGAGACAGCTGAGTCTGGAAGCCGAATGGTCTGAGGCGACTTGGAGAGTGATTTACTCCTCTTGCCCAACTTTCGAAGCCTGTGCCATCGCCCCCTGTCCTCTGGGGGAATTCCATCAGGGATAGACATAAAGTTACCTGACGGAGGGCTGTAATTCCTCAAAAAGTCAATGAGCTCTGCAAGGCCATCATGCGGTTCCCCGTCCCCCTCCTGCTGCTGATCGATGAAGGTGTCGTCGTGAAAACGCAAGTCCTTGTCCTTTTCGGGACCATCTAGCAAATTTGATGCAGATTTTGCTCTTGGCCGGGTACGTGCTTGGGCTTGGGTTTGAGAGCCTGGCCTTTGCAGATACGAATGCCGATTTGTTTTAGGGACAGTAGATGCAGATACAGAAGAAGTGAGAACTGGGGGGATTGTTGTGCGAGGACAGGAAGCGCCACTGCCCGACGTGACAGAGGCCTCAGGATCAAGGCCAAGAACTTGAGCCATGCCGGGCCAGCTCAACATCTGATACGGAACATGGGATGGGCTTATACGCTTTTGCGCAACGATGCACTTGCATCCATGAAAGACAGGCCTGAGCTAGGTAGATGTATCAGCTGAGTATTCACGGGACATGGTTTGTACACGAAGGGATCTCTTAAATTAGTCTCACCTTTGGTTGTTGTCTGTCTTTCGGGGCTTTTCTCGTGTCCTCCCTTTTGGAGGCTTGGAAGGAGATTAGGAGGCGGGTGGTTGCAGACCGGTGACCCGAGTGATAGTAGGTAGATAGATAGTCTGTGTCACCGCGAGTTCATATGTATGTATATCTTACACTGGGAGCCGAATTGAGTTGGCAGCCACAAAACAAGGCCAAGATTGTGACAAAGATGTAAAATTGAGAAGTGATGGTGTTGAAAAGAAGAAGAAGAAATTACATGTCCTGGCCTGGGGGTGCTCTCCCCCAGTTCAGCCCAGTTCAACCTGGTCAATCCAGGTTCCAGGGGACAGCTAGAGCAGGAGCATCAGAGAGGTCCCAGAGCCCATGTATGCCGTCACTCCCCCGTAAAACCCTGGAGCGCCACCAAGGCCAAGTGCCGCTATTTAGTCTTAGCTCAGGATCCGAAAGCTAATTATGCCCGTTGAATTTAATGTGGAAACGTTGTCGCTAATTCCCCAATCAGAGCCTCAGAAGCACAGATTCACCAAAAGGGAGATCGTGCTCCTTTGTTCTAGCTCAGCTCATCTCCATTATCTGCTGGGTCTCTTAATCTTTCTGATGTTGTAATTACGCCTCTTTCGCGATGCGGCACGACAACCCGGTTGTTCGGGATGCCTACCAAGATCGGCGAAGAAATAGTTTCATTTGTCAAAATATCCTAGTCATATTTGCACTGGAGATCTCATTTTCCTGTCCTGACCCTTGGTTAGCTTCGTTCTCGTCACTTTTCCTCTTTGCTTTTTTCTCTTTTCGCTTTATGCATGTCTCTTTGCCGGCCACCACAAGTGATGTATGGTATGCATGCCAGGGGAGGAAAGAAAACACAGGACCTTAATCCTAAATGACAAAAAAACTTAGGCAATATAGCCTAAGCTTAGGATAACTTTTACTTAAGTTTATTTTAGCACCCTATATAAAGGTTCGCTGTTTTCTTGCCCCCCCGAGGGCATGCACGTACAGACAAGCATTTAGTGGACAGATCTTTAAATCCCAGCCGCTCGCAAACCTTTCCCTTGAAAAAGAAACAATTTACAGCAATTGGTTGCCGAAAGTCTTCGGTCAGTGGTTGCAGCTGGCTGGTCGTGGTCACCACCGTGAGTTGTGTTACCTTCTCAGGTATCTCGGATGGTTCACAAGAGGTAGAGGTATCCGATATGAACCAAGCATCAGCTCCAAACCCAAGCCATGCTCGCGTTGGTGGTCTGTCCTAGACTTGGCGACTTGCTGAACCACTTACGTAGGTATGCACCAATCTACAAACTGTACAGTATCAGGAGATAGCAGAACTCAAAGCTTCATCTTCAATCCGACCGTGTATGCCAAGAACACCTAAGTAAGTTTAGGATCAACTTGCTTGGTTCTTTAGTTTATTCTTGCTCCGTATCAAGAGTCTTGAGTCTTCTATATCTAATATCGAGGGAGTAGCTCCCTGTTCCAACATTTCACAAACATTTCACTCCACCCCCATAGGATAGTAGCCATCTCTTTTCAGCTCACAGGGTTCTGCCTTCAGGTCCTTACAACTTATCCAATCACCAATACCGCGTCGTTGTTGCTCAACCGCCAAAAAGCCCTTCCGAGCGCCACTGCTGATCTTCTCTGCAGGAGACCACTAGTGTCATCACCGTGCCAAGTTACCAACTGTTACCTACGGAGTAGGCCAGAGGATATGATGTGTGTGCCTGACTGAGCGTTATCTCTAGAGTCTAGCGTCATCTCCTTCTCTCTGTCGTCTTGGCTTTCATATAAGCTGGGCCGAGCTGACCCTCCTTGGAAAGCCAAAGGGCCACTGTCGTCAATAATGCCTCCATCGCCATTTGCCTTTACGTCATAGCACATCCATCCTTTTTGTCACTTGTGATCGTGCATGTATGAACAAGTTGCCTCGTCTAACTATTGCCCATGGGAACTTGACCAGGATCGGACATTACCTGACTTCATTCGTCACCAGGGTCCCTTGTCGTTCTCCCTGTCTTTTGAAACGACACGATCCCTGTCGGCTGATGATCGTCCTCACTACCGGTCGGTTAGGCGAGCTGACCCATGCTCAGCGCAAACATGGACTGCCATTCTCCTCCATTCACATTGTTTCAACGACATCACGTGACGCAATCAACCTCAACTGTAGACGACGAGATAGTGGAAAAGATGCAGTGCTCTGCCATTACCAGGTTCCAGCCTTGACGGAAACCCCCATGGGTCTTGTTGAGCGTCTCGACCCTAATAGCTGGCCTCAGAATCTTCCAGGCTGGTCAGGTTTAATATTTAATGATTCTGTTCTCCATCCGACCACCACAGGAGGGGTCTCGTGCCCCCTTGCATATCACCGTAGGCAGCCCACGCATGTATGATGTATGCCAGCCTACCATATTTTCTGGCTGAAGCCAGGAGTGAGGCATGTTTGGCAATGTCTAATCCTCCCCTCTGGAAAAAGATTTTCGGGGGCCCTTATGCGCTATTCGGGCGGGGATGCCATGTACAAATGAAATAATGCACCCAACGCCCAGAAATGCTATCTACTACGTATCATCCTCTATGCTTGTTATACAGAGTCTCGTTTTGTCATGAGATTCACTGTTTCTTTTACCGTTTCTTTGGGACAAAGAGACTTGGCTTCCCCTTCTTGCGAGAGGAAGGCGGGTGAGGTGGGCGTCGTTGCTGGGGACAGTATAAGCAAAGAGTCTCGTCGAACTCATAGTTTTAGAAATACCTGGTTGTTATTGTATTGCGGCCCCGGATTTGAAGGACCCGTCGGAATTCTAGGTCCTGTTGGGGCTTGGGGTCTGCTTGGTAACAAGGGACCAGTCGGCGCTGCTGCAGGCGGTCTCTCAGGTGGCGCCAGGCCCATTACTGACATTGCTGAAGGGTCGGTGGGAGCCTTGGGCGGCCGGTGCGGCTTGTTCCCAAACTTGCCCATGAGTCCACCGCCCCGAGCCTTGTCACTTGCTATCTGTTTGTCTGTTAGCTTACAAAACCTTGTTCTCGGCGTTTGTTATGTTTGTGGACATACCCTTTTAGGAACTGGCTGATTTGAATCTGGTCCGTTATGAGGTCGCTTTCGTGCTTCTCCTGGAGGCTTGCTTGACGAGGTATGAATGACAGGAGGCCCAGCAGAGCGTGGCAGAACCCCAGCCGGTTCGCCTCCTGCAATGCCAGGTATGTGAGTTGCGGGAGTCGTTTTCTGCTGAGCTCCCTCGACCTTGGGCGAGTTTGGGCGAGATGAGGGCAGTGACGATGAAGCTTCCAAAGATGCATCTCGCATGGGAACATCACGGGCTGGAGCTTGGGGTAGTGAGGCAAGGTAAGTGCCCGGCTTTGCCTTTTCGAGGGGCTTCCTAAACATTGACAACACGTCGCCATTAGTGTAGCGATCTCTGGCTTGAGCATCCTCAATGAGTTTTCGCCAGAACTCGCCCTGAACAAGCGCTCTGGAGTCACCAAGAATCCACAGCGATGATTTAGCACGAGTTAGACCGACGTTCATACGTCGAATATCAGTCATGAAACCGATACCGCCAGTAGAACTGGCACGAACACAAGAGAAGATGATGATCTCACATTCGCGACCCTGGAAAGCATCAGTGGTGTTGAACTCGATTATGCTTGTGATGTTCTCGCCATATCGCGAACGGAAGCGGTTTCTTAACTCATAGAGTTGAGCTTTGTAAGGAGTGATGATACCGATCTTGCCTGTCAAGTCGCATTCGCGGTACTCGTTACTAAAGCGATCGTACATCTGTATAGCAACATCCAACTCCTTGGTGTTGACCAGCGACTGGCCCTTGTGGCCCCTCTCCTGGACACCCTGGACATCGAAGAATCGATAGGGACCAAGTAGTGCACTCTTGTGCCACGGCTGTTGCCTGAGCTCATGCATGTTCTGTCCGTCGGCGAGTTGTCCTTCGTAGAACTCGCGGCTGGGGAACAAGCTGATCTCTGGATGCATACGGTATTGCATGTCCAGCAAATGCACCGATTGGGGGTGGTTTTGCTGCATTCGGACGAACAGACTCTGATCGTAACCAAACTTCGCCGCCGACTGTGACAGAACTGTAGGGGGGAGCTGTTTAGGATCTCCAACGAGGATGCATTTGTAACAGCCGTATTTGAGTGGAATCAAGGCGCTTAGCTCAACGCACTGGGCAGCCTCGTCGATGATTACTGTTTCGAACTCTACGTCCTCCAGGTTTCGAAACATCTCGTGACCACTGCCACTCAGAGTAGCGCACAAGACCTGAGCGTTATTGAGGATTTCCTGCTGAACTTGGCGGCGTCGCATTTCCATCTCTCGGGCTACAGAATTGCCACTGCTCTTGTCGGCATCGATTTGTTTTCCATAGGACATTTGGCGTCGCTTCAATTCGTCGAATTCTCGAGATAGCTTGTTGTAGAGGGTTCGATCATCCATGAGCTTTGCTGCTTCCAGTTGGGGACGCAGTTTTCCCAGCTCTTCCTTTACCTTCCCGGCATTCTCGTGGAGTTGGTCACGGTCGGCTTTGGCTTTATCCTTGGTTTGATCGCCCTCCATGCGGGCCTTGACAAGCTCGTCTAGGGTGACGTCCCTTACAGCTGCATTAATGGCATCACTCCGACCGAGTCGTAGCACGTTGATATTCTTGGTTTTCCCCGATATCGTTTTGACACCAGCCTTCAGACGTAGCACTAATTCATCGACGGCGGCGTTACTGGGTGCACAAACAAGAAGCTTTTTTGAACGGCTTTGTTTGGGAGCCCCTGGTGCACCGTTCGGTCGCAGAGGTACGCCCATGGGAATGCCTTGATTGCTTAG